TTTAACCATTAGAACTACTGTGACATATCACTTTAATATATCCTGCTTAGCCATTTTGAAGATAAAAAAGTTTAATTTATAGCGTTGATTTAACAAATTTTATTAGGTTTTGAATTTTACACTATTAACCGAGAATGGATGTATTTATATTTCAGTTATTATTTCCAATGAAGCAGAAATTCCAAACTCAAACTACGTAATAATCTTATCAATCAGCAGAAGGCTTGGATCGCGACCCTGCTTTCGGTACAGTGCCTATAAAGAACGATAAAATCTTAAATTCATTTTAAATTCGTGTAAAGACTATAATATTCGAAATTTAATTACCCTCTCGAAAACCATTCTTGAAACGCCGAGATACGTGTTTTAGGTATCGCATGCGACCAGTACCGGTAGTTTTTCTGCGTTTACCTTTTTCACTCCAGTTATCTATTTGAGAATAAATTAGGTTATATCTTTTGAGTAAAAAATCCAATAAGTTTTATGTAATATCATTGCGAAATAAAGTGAGAATAATTAACTTCACAAAATTCACAACTTCCAAATTTTTAAATAACGATAAAATATGAAATATAATTACTAACAGCTTCTGGTCTTTGCGGAAGGGTACCCACATTGAGCACAAGTTTTCTTTTGGTTATGGAAAGCACGCCTACCGCATCTGCGGCACAAGGTGTGAGTTTTTGTATGACGTTTACCAAAGCTCGAGGTACCCTTAGTCTATATAATGGTCATTTTTTTCGATAAAAGTGAGATTTGTCGAAACGTTAGAATCTTAGCATCAATTAACTGCATATTCTTTAAAAGTTTTATTAAATTTTTAAGTTCATTAATCTAATCGATTATTTTATCCTCGATGGATGAACTTTTTTTTTGAAAGAAAGAAAATGATGCTATTAAATTTACCATGATTGATCAAGGAGAGGGATTTCAAAATTTTTTTTTCAAATTTTTATTTATGTAAACGTTAATAATAAATTAATATTTGCACATGACAAGAGATAATCAAATGATCATGCGTTATACAGTTACAGTATAAGAATATTCGAAATCAGGGATAAAATTTACGGGATACGTGAAACGTGTCTTCCTCCCTTAAACCTTTTGTCGAGATCCCCCGTCTTTACAAAATTAAACTTTCCACAAGCAAATACTAATCATTTTGATATATTTCTTGGAAAATAAGCATGAGTTTCGGCTCAGAGTTAAAGGTATTAATTTGACCAAAATCTTTTAGTTTATTGGCCATTGTCGTTTGATACACAGTTCTTGTAGGATCAAGTTACCTCCGTTAGCCAATTCGTTCAACATGGTATTCTATTCCTAAATGAATTTCGAGATTTCGTAAAGGAACGTGCTCAGATAGAAAAGGAGTATGCAAACAAAATTGAAGCACTTGCAAAAAAATACTCTACAAAAAAAGAAAAAAAGGCGGTTTCCATGTCTGTTGGTGACGTTGCTAACACTTTATCGGAAAAAGACTTCAATGATGCTAAATCAGATCCTGGGTAAGCTTTAAAAATGGCATGAAGCCTTTTTTCTTAACGCTTTTTCCTAAATCGATCTATATGCATTTAGTACTTTTTTGAATGCATGGACAGCTATTCTTGAAGGAACAGAAAATATTGCAAAAGAAAGATTCAAGTTTTCAGAATCGTTATCAACGATTATTATGGATCGAGTTAAGGCAGTAGCTGTAAAAAAAGAAGAAACTCGAAAGAAGGTTTGTTATTTTATAAGAATTTACCTTATTTATGTTCATATTGTTAAACAATATATATGCTTTGGATATTTTTTTTTAGCATATTATGTTTGCTCAGAAACTGAAATCCGATAGAGACAAAATATATAATGAAATGCAGAAAGTATGCATCAACATTGTTCAGATATGATATGTTTTTATCATTTAATACTTTATTTGAATAAATAAGTTTGCATATTATAAATATTCGTATGATAAAAATTCAGGCCAAAGAACACTATTATGAATGTTGTGTAGAAGTACAATCTTCAAAACAAAAACAAGAACGAGCACCAGATGAAAGAGTGTTGGATAAGGTACTTTTTATGTGAAATTGCCGTACACGTTCTTGATATATCAATGACACATGTATTTCAGTTGCGTAAACAAGCATTAGATGATGTTGTTGAGATGAACAATAGCAAAGTAAGCGATAATTATATTATAATCATCACGTAAAACCAGATTGTTTATAACATTTTTTCTCTTTAATCGCGTAGAATATGTATATATTATCAATCATAAGAGCGAATGAACATAAAAAAAAGTATTATTATGAGGACTTGCCTGCTCTTACCGATGTATGTATTGTATATATTAATGCTTATATTATATATAAGTTTTAAGATATTGACTTTGTTTTACAGC